TTTTTTTTTTTTAACTCTGACTAAATGGCAACTGTTAATTTAAAGGATTGTACTACATTACAGAGTATAGATTTTTCTTTAAAAGCTCAACTTAATTAATATAAAAACATCAAGTTAATTGTGATGCTATTACTCTTCTTTATATAATGTGTTCATATCTTCCAGGTATAAAAGTCTTTAAAGTAAAAGGTTTAAGAAAACATTTCATCAAGCTAGTCTTCTCCAAACTTGTAAAGTTGTTCCTAATGGTAATTTTAGACTTATACAGATGAAAAGTTATATTGAGGATTTATTTAAAGGTATTTCTAAAATATAACAAGAGCCTGATTTATTTAAAGGTTAATATTATAAAACATTTTACCACTTTTCCACACATAAAGGAAAATTATCAGCTTCAAACCTGAAACAGTTTATCTAAGATTTGCGAAGAACACCATCTTACCTGAACTAAGGCTCTGCCTCCCACTACACTACATGTTAAAATCGCTCCAAAGGAGGCCAGACTTCAGCTTATTTAAGCTTAAGAACAAAGATTGATTTTTATCATAAAGATTACTGTGATCTCAAACAGGGGATATAATATGTAACTCAGCCAAGGTTCAAAATTATGTACAAACTAAATATGTTTTTACTCTTGTTGATTTAGAGTTTTCCTTGTAAACTTTAACTACTGCTATTAATACCTTATAACAACCATCATATACAGACAGATTGTAAATAAAGGAGGTAAAACTGTAAATCTATAAACATTAAAGTTAAAGCTCAGTCCTCTTACTTTAAAACTGGTAAGACTGATTTGCTAGATGTTTAAGGGCAAGGTTTAAATATTAAGGGTAAAACAAGGGGCCAAAAAAACCAATATTTTTTTCTTGTCCTTAGTCAGCTTGAACCTAGGGGGCAAGGGGAAGAACTCTGGGCCACATAACCTCCTGATCAGGAAGATTAATGAGGCCATAGAGAATGGAAGCCAGTGAGTGCATGTGCTGCAGAAGAGGAAGGTCATTGGAAAAAGGAGACATCCCTGTTGCTTCCAAGGGAAGCCACATGGCCAGTGGGTGTCAACCCATCCTATGCAGATAGCACTAGCAGAGCTAAGAGGCTGCTCACAAGTTCCCCCAGAGTGACTGCCAAGGGGAACTCACTTGACTCTTAACAATAGCTAGAAYCAAGGTCCATTTGACCATGTTGATCTTAAACACCTAGCAAAAACAGTTAAAACCAAGAAACTACAAATCCTGGACAGTTACTGTAATTTAAGTTACAGATTTATGTTAGAGCCCCCTACCACGAAATAAATAAGATTTTTTAAAAACTGCCCAAATTAAAAGTTCTTAGTCAGTTTAAGGCCTTCAGACCTCTAAGCTCCCACACAGGTATTCTCTATCCCTAAGTAACAAAGATAAAGGGATCTCTACTAAGTTCAAAGGACATGCCAATAAAAAGATATTTTACAGAAATCAGATGACATTAATTAACTTAATGAAGTGTTCTGATTATATTCCTGATAAGTCTGACAATATTAGAGGTTTACATTCCCAAATAAAGGCCTTATTAGTCTTTATGAGGCCTTGTTATGGGGACGCCTTCTCAGTTTTTGCGCTTACTGATGAAAGAATATTAAATAGTACATGTAACACATGATGCAACATTTATTTTATATTACTCTCATTTCAGGACTCCTGTCTTTTTGTTTCCCTCATAAAAGCACCAACCGCCAGGTGACTTTWCGACCTATTCTTCACGAACCAAACTTTCATCATGGACCCCTTTGACCAACCCAGTTCTCAAAAGGACTCCAAAAGGCTTGCCCTGCTGCACATTACCCCCTCTCAGCTTGAAAAAAACAAGAGCTGTTGTTGCCCTTTTTCTTACAGGAGTAGGAAATCCCTAAAATTAGAAGGGAAAATAYAATCAATGTAAATAGGGAATAGGGTCAAGTCACAAAGTGGAGGCTAATTTGGGTTCAAAAATTGTTAGAAGTTCTGAGCTGCTAAAACAACATTTCAAAGGCTTAAACAGACACGTAGACTTAGACGTAACACAATTAGAACAGTGAGTCAACAAGCTTAAAATCTCTCTCAATTCCTTGGCAGAAATAATGTTACAAAATAGGAGAGAACTAAACCTTCTGTTTTTGAAACAAGATTGTCTCTGCATGGCCTTAGGAGAAATATGTTGTTTCTATACTAACCACTCCTGGGTAATAAGAGACAACTTATCACAGATGCAAAAAAAAGATTAAAGAAAAAAAAAGACTAAAAAAATTAGTAGCAAAATTTGTTTTCTTGGTCTCTATGGCTCACCACTCTCATGGACAGACCTTTGCTGTTAATTCTCCTTGGACTCTTAATTGTAGTATGTATTCTAAACGGTCTGACATAGAACACAAAACAACAGACACCATCTATGAACTTACTGGTTTGAAGAATTAGATATGACCCAATGTATACAGAGGAATCAATGATTTGATTAAGTCCCATAAAATCAGTGGGGCATGTTATGGCTGGGCTTAATCAATATTTACTATAGGACATTATAAATTATAGGTTATAAAATATTAATAAGCAGGATAATAAGRTTATGTGATATGTGTAACAAATTAAATAATGTTAAGCTGTTTCTAAGATGTTAAAACTTGTTTTTCAGTACTTCATATGCCCACAAATGTGCTCCAATCCAGGATGTGAYTGTCTGTTTTTGCTCTGCAAATTGCTTTCTCAGTCCTTGTGTCCTGCTTGCTTGCCTTCACCTACGTTTTCAAGGATATGTTTTTTTTTCCCCTTTTAAACTCCCAAAACTTTGACCTGATAATGTTCCTGGCAGAGACAATTCAGGTACTGCAGGGGAGCAGTCGCAAGCTGACTATAAAAAATCAAAATTNTTATGTGATATGTGTAACAAATTAAATAATGTTAAGCTGTTTCTAAGATGTTAAAACTTGTTTTTCAGTACTTCATATGCCCACAAATGTGCTCCAATCCAGGATGTGAYTGTCTGTTTTTGCTCTGCAAATTGCTTTCTCAGTCCTTGTGTCCTGCTTGCTTGCCTTCACCTACGTTTTCAAGGATATGTTTTTTTTTCCCCTTTTAAACTCCCAAAACTTTGACCTGATAATGTTCCTGGCAGAGACAATTCAGGTACTGCAGGGGAGCAGTCGCAAGCTGACTATAAAAAATCAAAATTCTGACTGAGAGTGTTTTCTGAGTGATTAACCCACAACAATTGAGTGTCACTTGCCAGATTTGTCCATTAGAGTAGTGTAAACATATATATGTATAAAATTTGGGTCCAAAAATTGTCAGAAGTTCTGAGCTGCTTTTTGTAACAAAATATGTTATTACCCCAGTGTTTGTAACATTTGTAACAAAATATGTTATTACCCCAGTGTTTTCTGTTGTCAGCATGGCCAGTGTCTTAAGGAAGTTCATATAATAATTAGCTTTTGAAAAGATGAAAAGTAAACAATGAAAATAACACAGCAACAACCAACAAGGAAATTCAATATAAYCTATGTCATAAAGAGGACATTAGTATATCACTGCTTCCCCTTAGGTCCAACATTGTGTGAAATATACAATCTAATTTCACTGGATAAAGAGGAACATTGTTTGACAAAATTCACTTTGGTATTTTCCTCAAGAGACACAGCTGACATAAGTATAAAAATGGATAAGTAAAAAAAGAGTACACATGTTTTAATAATCAAACCAGAATATCAGGAAAATAATAAAAAGGTATATATTATGTTAAAGTATTTACCATTGCTTCAACTAGTACTATTTTAAATCAGAAACTTCCTTGCTACCCATAATTTTCCAGAACTGTTGCTTGATGGCTATAAACATAACCCAACTATATGCATGCACACATGCTCGTGTATATTAATACACACATATACACATGCAACACAAATATATACAAGTATCTATATATAAACCACCACTAATAAGTGATAGCACTGTGCATTACTGTTTTTTTTTTTAAACTTCATGGGTAAAAAATAAGAATTGTGCAAAATCTTACAAGTTACATGTTTCCCATAATATCATGGGTTCCTTTATTCTGTATCCAGGTAAAGCAGAGCCCAGATACACTGTAGCCTCGGCTCATGAGCAGAAAGGGGCTGACAGCTGGGAAACACCCAGAGACTATTGCACCTGTGTTCACCAGGAACAAACTGGGATTATAAATAATAGCCAAACAAACTTGAGCAATGCAGGAAAGAGTGTAAAAGGAGACAAAGGTGCTCACCAGGAGGAGGATGGTTTTGGTGGCTCTGGACTCAGTGGAGGACCTGAGGGAGCTGGTCCTATGAACGTGYTGCATTCTCCGCTTGTGCCTGTGCAGGATGAGCACCATGGAGCTGCTGGCCCAGAGCATGATCCCCACACACAGGGCATCAGGGAAGGTTAGCAATGCTGCAAACAGTGAATCAGTGGTTGAGGCATGACAGATGCTAGAACAGTATCCATAGTCTTTTAAATTGGTGATGGTTTTGTTCCTCCTATTTGCCATGGTGTACATAAAATTAGGGACATTTAAAAGGAGGGACAGGAYCCAGCTCAGGTATATGCAGGAGATGGTGTACTTGGGAGCTTTTATTTTAAGTTCTGCCCACCTGGAGTTCCCAGAACTAATCTTAATGGCCTGAAAGATGCTCAGGAGGCAGATGCTGCAAATGGACACATTCCTTCCAGCTCTGTGAAGAGCAAAAARCAGCTTGCATCCAATATCACTGGTGAAATATTTCATTCCAAAGCCTGCCATTGTCTCAGGAACTCCTTTACACAGGAGAGTTAACAAGTTGGCCACAATCAAGTGCTGAAGAATCAAGTCTGTGTGTCTTACCCAGCAACCAGGGAAGTAAAGGACCAGGTAATGGAGGAGAAGAGAGGAATTGCCCAGAGCTCCAACCATAGTCTGTGACAGGAAGATGATTCCTACAGCCACTGCACTGGCTGCCATCCTGCCAGTTCCCTGCGTTTGAAGCCAGAGGG